CAGGAATTTTGGGGATTGAACCTGGGGACCTTCTGCATGCAAAGCAGATGCTCTTCTACTGAACTAGGGCCCAGGTAGAGTTTGGGAGTACTGCAGTGTACCAGGGCAACCTTATTGGAGTTCCTCTTCACATCATTAGTAACTCATAAACCTGAGACAGGTACTCTATTTGTCTGTCATCACTGCTCTTAGTAAGCTCCCTAGGGGTTCCTGTTCACTGGCTTTGCCCGCCCCCAATCTCTCAGAGCTGCATTTTTGAAAACAACTTAGATTGCTCTGCATAAGAAGAGGCCAGACTATAGCTCTTTGCGATGGTGGTACAGAAGGAAGGTGGGAATATGCCTTCCCTTGCTGGGAAACTCCCTTAGAACAAGGGTTCCCTGGAAAGCACCCTGGTAGCCAGTCACCACCACTTAGGGATCTCCAGAGAACATCTAGACTGATCCACTGAGAGGGTATCCTGCTAGCACAGTATTAGAAACAGCCCCCCCAGAAACAGCCCCCCCCAGAGCCCCAGATACCCATGGATAAATTCTCCATTATAGTGTATGGGGACCAGTCTCCATAGGGTATAATGGAGTACCCAGCAGACATCCCCCCCTGCTTTCTGATAACCCTGAAGTGGGGGGAGGGCCTCCTCCAAACCAGGTTATCCCCTGCCCCCAACTTGGGTTTGGCCACCCTATTCACAGGTGAAAAGGAGCTCTTTCTACACATAGGCATATTCACAGTTTATGATGAGCAATAGAGTCCCACAGCTGTATGGTATGAAGTTGAATTCCTCTCACCTAGAGCTCATATGAAAGAACTGAGACCTGTGAAAAACTTTACAGTTGCATCAGTTATATCCCACACCTAACCTTTTTAAAAAAACCCAACAACTATACATTTAATAACATTTTTGTATTTTCAACAATGGCTGGCAACTAATATTCTTCTCTAGTGTAATTTTGTGATGTCATGATAGACTGTTCTTTGCAGGCAGCCTGGGGGGAAAGGTTTCTCGTCAGGGCATGTTTGTTTTCTTCATCAACGAATTTGTTTTGCCATTACATGAAGCAGTGCACTTTTTAAAAAAGTTTTAAAAATGTAAATTCATGGGTGGAATATGCCATTCTTTTTTTTTTTTACACACAGGAGGGAATTCCTCTTTTGCGACAGAAATAGGTGCATCCTCTACAACTAACTTAGGGGGTTCCTTCTTTTTTTTGGCCATCTAATAATCAGCTCCTAGCTTGGGGACTGGTTTATCACCCATCATTTTAGATGGCTCTCTTTATTTTCTGTGCTTTTATGCCCTGCTGGCTTGTTTCTGTTGACATATTTTTATTGATTAATTATTGATATTGTTTTTACTGATTTTTTTTTGTTTTACTCTTTTGTGCTTTGTTTATTTTACTATTTCAGTACTAGTGTGCTGCCTTAAGGAAGACTGCTGAGTTGGCATACACATTTTCTAAATAAATAAAACTAAACACCATGTTTTTCTTTAAAGCTACATGTACTTTATTCATTATCAAAGGTATGCAGATTTAATTTGTTAAAATTATTTTGATAAAATTAATAATCAAGAAAGATTTTATTCAAGCGATTACCCTATTTAGATAGATATAAAAACAGTGCCCCCTGCTCAAGGGAAGCAGTGCATTATGTCTGTTTAATAACATAATTGATGCCTATTGGAGATCTAAGATGGACACCAAATATCAGCTGCTTAGAGCAAACATCTGTCGTTCTGAGGTTTCTGTTGTCTTTCATTATATCCCATGAGAGAATCCTGTCTTGATGATCTGGAATGTTCCCAGACAATGCGCTGTCGGGCAAAGCTATGAGTTCCATTGGAAAGTTATTGGTTAGCTGCAGGGCAAGAGTGTGACTTCAGATACTTTTGACTTCAGTTCTTCCGGGGCAGTTGCCATCTTTCATTGCATGCAATGGTAGCCACCCTCAAAGAAGGGATCTTGACCTAGGGGAAGGAAGAATACAGCAGTTATTTCATAGGTCCAAAGCTCCAGTTATTGCTGGATACAGTGATGGCTTCACTACAATTTTCATGGCAATGCCGAAGCACCTGGGGTCATTCTGGGCTGCAGAAACTATAGAGGTCATGAAGAGATCCATGTTCTTCATTATACAATTAGTTCTCAACTTTGCTACGTTGGATGCCACACAACACTTCCAAAATGAACTCAAAGCTGCAAGTCAGTGTGTTGCCTTCATACAAAGAGGCCGTGTCTTTTGAGCCACTTACTAAGGAGAGATGTCTTTTGCCTTCCAAGCACGGAGGACCTCGGCAATATTCTTCTTCTCTCCATTGGGTGTTCTCAGGTCATCAGCAGCCGCTCCATTGAAGTTTCCACAGGGGCCACATAATTTCCCTGCCAGGTTCTCCTTGACTCGGACTGTCAGTCCCCCATCGCGGTGGAGGTGAACTTGCATCTGAGAGGCCTGGTCGATCAAGATGCCATCCTGAACATTGCTCACAGAGAAGGCTTTGGAGATCTTGTACGGCAGTCTTACTAAGCGCCCATTGACCTGGAACATAGGAAGATTGGGGCAGGGAAGATGTGGGCTTGAATGAATGTCTAGAACCCAGCAGTAAACCTACGTGATATTATATGGAAGAACCAATGGTGGTCAAAATAAAGGAAACATTGGAGTCAGCTATGCATAAACTTGAAACTGCACGTGTATGAACCACTTAATGTTACTCTTTAAATGCTGTGTGATTTTTCTTTCTGTAGGTTAACTGGACACATATTCACTGTGGTCCTTAGCTGTCTTGTAGCTTCTAACCTGCAGAATGGACTGCCTGAGGATAAAGTCCCTTCACTTTTGAATTTTGGAGCACTCGTAGAGAGTGCTGACAAGCAGTGTGATGTAGAGATTAATGTCAGATCTGGGAGAGTAGAGTTCCAGTTAGGGTCATCAGGAGACCTTCTGCTGGTAGCCCGTGACCCTTGCCATCACTTGGTGGTGGTGGGGGAATAAGGCAAAATCATTGTTGCATCAATGATATGATGTAATTTCCAGGTTGAACCCAGACGTAACATCATAATCAGGATTTCAGTGGAAACAATGTGGTTTTACCATAGAGACTCAGCTGAATCCTAGAATGCTACAATAGGACATCTCTTCTGAGTTCACCCTGCAAATTACATCAAGCCATTGATCGGACATCCCCCTGTCCCTGTCCCTCAATCTCCCAGCCACCAACTAGCAACCCTAGTTCAAATCCTTACTCTGCCATGGAAACTTTCTGGGTGACCTTAGGCCAGTCACACTAACCTAACTCTCAGTGTTGTTGTTGAGAAGATAATATATAGAGGCAGGCAGCACTGTGAGGGGCTTTGGGTCCCCGATGGGGAGAAAAGAAGCATAAAAATCTAAAAGAATAAAATAAAACGCAAAGCAATCCTTTTCAAAGGGCATTTGGTGCACATTCTTGTTGAAGCTTCTGCATTGCTTTGGGGTGTCTGATGTTATTCTAAATCATGTTCATGTATATCTATGGCCATTCCTGCAGTAGTGAAATTCCCCACATCAGTGTTTTTAAAACTGTGTGTTATGTGAAATTTTCTGCAGGTAGATTTATCCTCACCAAACACAAACCCAACCTTTTTGTCCTTCTTACCCTGCATTTTTTGAAATCGCTAAAACTGGAGATTCCGAAAACGCAGGGAAAGAAGGAGAAAACTTTGGGCTTGCACCTAGTGAGGAAAAATCTACTGTTGAAAATGTCACATAACACGCAGTTTTAAAAACATCAGTGCAGGAAGTTTCACTACTGCAGAAATGGTCTATTGCTTCTCTGCCTTGTAGCTAACATCAAGTGTAGTATGTATATGTATGATTTTAAAGTTTAAAGATTAATAAACTTTTTAAAAGATGTAGCAGAGATTAATGAAAATCTCCTGATTATTGCAGGATATTCTTCCTAACTATCAGATTTCAGTATCCTATGAATTTGTTGCTGGGATGGCACTATATGAGACTCAACTGAGGACAGATCATGAAAATACATGTGGTTAGAGAAGGGCGGGTAGAACCAAAGGGGAAAGGTCAATGTGGGGAAGAGGGGGACTAGAAAAGGAAGGGGAAGTACCTAAGGCAATGCCATAGATCAAGTTAGGTCCCGGTCACACGGAGGGTTTTGGCCTGGGAGAGGGACAGATCGGGGGCGCAGCAAACAGGCGCGATCTCACCGCAACATCTGGGAAGTGGCGCGCACCCGTCCCCGATCCGTCCCTAACC